TGGGGCTGAAGCCCAGGGCCCTGAGCCCTGTCACCTGGGGCTGAAGCCAAAGCCTGAGCAATGTAGCCTCATGGTGGCCCCTGTGGCATGAGGCCCCAGGCAGCTGCCCTGGTTGCTACCCGCCAATGCCAGCCCTGGCTTTTATATGCAGAAAACCTTATGGCACACATGGGCCGTGGAGTTTTTATAGTATGCTGGGGGGGTGGGGGGTGGAGAGGGGCTCAGAAACAAAAAGATTGAGAACCTCTGGTATAGAGTATGGACCTGCATGACCCCTCTCAAATCCACCAGCCAGCAGATTATTATTGAACATTTATATTATGGTAGCGCGTATGACCACACACAGGTTGCCCCATTGTGCCAGGCATTGTACATCATAAATTACAGTCCTTGACCCAAAGAGTTTATAACCTAAAAGGTAAGATATAACAGATGGAGGAGACTAACAAGCAGGTCAGGGTGGAGATGGGCGAGACAAGGTAATAAATATACTAGGAGATATGCAATTCTTCGCCATTCAGTAGCAACGATCACAATTTGCAAGCATAACCTCCAATCTGTGCTGAGTTTGCCAGGATTACAGAGAGAGATCTTCTTCATCCCCAAAAGGGGTAAAGTAATTACCTACCATCTGGAGCAAGTGGGGAAGCTAGAGAAGATGGAGGAATTGTGACTGTCTGAGCAGCACAGCTTCACTATGCTTCTCATATAGAACTGAGCTTAACAGCTCAATGTAGCATTATTTTAAACTACAAAAGTGTTTTAGTCCTGACAATTCTCCAAGTATCATATATACAAAAATGCTCTATGGCAACAATAAAACAAAAACCAAACAACCCATATCCAACTTTGAGGAAGTGAGGGCTGTGTATTAAAAACTTTCCATAGTCCAAAAATATGCAATGTTTTAAAAGTTTCCTTCAGCCTTGAATGCCCTATTAAAATATTACATATTTAAAATGGCTTTTAGTTTACTCTAGACATGCTTAGCTTTTTCTTCTTTTTTTTAATTCCCAGCCATTCAGCATTTCAAACCCTTTACATTTTTAAATCACTTTTGACAGTTTTTTAGTGAATGTATTCTTCATGCTAAGTGCCAAGCTGATAGCACTGAAGATGGAAGTCCTGACCTTGATTTATCCATAAAACAAATACAAAATGGACAGCTGAAGTGCAAGCTTCTTCACACTGCACTGCTAGTTGCCTCAGTCCTAACCTGGATTGGAGGGACTCTCTCTAAGGGTGAGAGAGCAATTCAGTCTTCATATCACTTCAAAATTTGCCCTCTCTGCTGTGAGTGCTACCAGGGTGCCATTTATGGTGATAAGAATGTCTGTGATATGGACACGTACTCAAGGAATCTTGCACTCAGTGACTAGTGCTACCATGCTGGTAAATACTAATCACTATATTTTGATGTCCTTATTCATTGGTATTGTCCTCCCTGACTAGCCCCACTGATTTAAGTTAGTTTATTAATGGAATAAAGTACTACTCAACATCATTTATTATTATTAATTACTTGTATTATCGAAGTACCTAGAAGTCCCACTCATGGACCAGGTCCCTATTGTGCCGGGTGCTGTACAAAAACAGAACCAACCAACAGGTTGTCAGAATCTGGCCATAAATAGATCGGAATTGAATCAATCACATCATCTTCATTTCACATAAACCAGATCAAGATTTTGATAAGTATAAACAATCACAGAAAACAATTCAATTTCTCAAGTTAAATCTTCGAAATATATTATTACTGAAGTCTTGTCTGCAGTCACATGTTTACTTCATTAAACAGTCTACGTTTTACAAAAATACGTACACAGGTACCTAAAAAGTCCCAGTATAAGAAGTCCTGAGTCAGAGTTAGAAGAGGGAATTAAAGCAGAAAGATAGCTACAACGCTCTTGATTTTATGTTGCTCCCCCAACACACAATTTTTAGCTTCAGTTTCTGAGACTTGTGAATTCTTTTACCAGAAAATCGAAGTGTTTCATTGTCAGTTTATGGACTAGAGCTATCGATTAATTAGCATTTGTCAAGTACTTTGAGTAAATGACTGCAAACTATGTATTATTAGGCAGACATGTAGAAAGATGGTCTATATAGTTACTTATATAGATGCAGAGACTCACACCTATTCTATGTACAAGGCCAAGATTTTCCAAAGCAACTAGTGACTTGGGGTGCTTTTATTTTGGGGCACCTAGCTTAGTTAGGACATCTTAAATGGGCTTGATTTCCATGGCACTTGGCACCTTCTGCAGATTCAGCCCCAATCTATGAAGATGGGCACCCCAAATCACTAGCCAGTGGCAGGGCTGAACATCTTGGCCGATACTCACACAGAAGAAAAATCACAGGATTCCACGGAAGCCCCCCCGCTTGGCCAGGCAGGCCCCTGGTAGGGAGAGACGCGAGTAGGTGGGGAGGCGCTGGGGAGCGGCTGCCACCTGGCACGGGCAGAGCGAACTTTCTGCTGCGGGAGCCAAGCCCTGCTCCCTGCTACCACCTTCCTGCCCGGCTGCTGCCTGGTCCCCCGAGGGGCAGGTTGCCTACCTGCTCGGTGGGGCTGCTCCCTGCTCGGGCGGGCAGCCTGTTCTGCCGGCAGCACCGCTTTGCCCTTCCTCACCGAGCTCCCCATGGCGCGGCTCTGAGCGCATCCTCCTCCAGCGGCTCCCAGGGAGGGGCAGCGCCCTCTGCCAGGCCTGCTCGGCCAGCACCAGACAAGGACGCAGGGGAAGCCCCGGCTGCAGGCAAGGGAGCTGCGCGCTCTGGCTGGCGGGACCTGCGCGTCCCTCTCCTGCGACACGAAGCTCCCGTTGCGATAGCAATAGAGCCGCGAACAAACCCAGCCCCAGGTGCCTGCAGCGCTGGAGCGGATTTCCAGGGCGTGAGGCGACCCCTGCTGGCGGACGCGCCTCAGCTACCGAGTGATGGACACGATGCCCGGCCGCCTCCCGGCTCCACTTTGATTTTTTTAGGTCAGGCTGTTTAATAAACTGATCTCGCCCCTGGAAGGAGAAATGTGGCGGGGGAATCACAGCAGCTGTTTAGTGAATTGACCTGTGCCCAAATCCACAGTCTTGAGCAGCTGATGAGGGGCAGCTCCCTTGTGACCTTATTAATTAATTAATTTAATTAATGTCTTAGCGATTGGCTGAACAAGAAGTAGGACTGAGTGGACATCTAGGCTCTAAAGTTTTACATTGTTTTGCTTTTGAGCGCAGTCATGTAACAAAAAAAATCTACATTTGTAAATTGCACATTTACAACAAAGAGATTGCACTACAGTACTGGTATGAGGTGAATTGAAAAATACTATGTCTTTTGTTTAACAGTGCAAATATTTGTAAAAAAAAATAATATAACGTGAGCATTGTACACTTTGTATTCTGCATTGTAATTGAAATCAATATATTAGAAAATGTATAAAAATGTCAAAAAATATTTCAATTGGTAGTCTATTGTTTAACAATGCAATTAAAACTGTGATTAATCGCAATTAAGTTTTTTAATCGTGATTGATTTTTTTGAGTTAATCATGTGAGTTAACTGTGATTAATCGACAGCCCTAATTTTTAGTCAAGCATACCTCAAACTGCTTTACATAACATAGATGCCACAGACAAGAGGTGTCTTAGAAGTAAAAGATATTACTCAATTTCCCTGGAAGACCAATGCAGCTAAAATAAGGCATTGAGTAAAGGTGGTGGTGGGGGGGATTTTCTTCAATATAAAAATAAGCAGAAACTACTACTAAAACTGGAGCTGTAGCAGGTCAGCTCAAGAAGCATATTGCAAACTGACATGGAATTAGAACAGAGCACATTGCAAAATACATTTTAAAAGCTAAATATCCCTACTTTTTTGGGAGGGAAACCAGGCTCAAAGGAGTTAAGTGAAAAATTAAAAATATGACCTGCACTTATTGCAATCCTACTTGTAAGTATCTACCCGGATGGGAAGGCAATGTGACCTCGTGGATAGAACAGTGGAGTGGAATCAGGCGACTTGGTTCTATTCCCTGCTCTGTTGCTGGTCTGAGGGCTGACTTTGGACAAATCATTTCACCTATCCGTGCCTCAGTTTCCCATGTGTGAAATGGAGATGATACTTGCCTCCTTTGTAAAGTGCTTTAAGATCTACAGGTGGAAAGCACTACATGTGAGCTAGATATAATTATTATATTTATCTTTTTTCATACTGATGTCAAAAATATTAAAAAGAGGCAAAAGAGGACAACTTTAACTATAAGTAAATCACAGACAGTAGCACGTGTTCACATATGCTGTCTAGCTTTTGGAAACATTTGAATTAAAAAAAACCCCAAGGATGGACTCTGAAAGTAAAGCTCTACATATGGGACAATTTTCAGCATGTCTTTTTTTTCCAAAACCAATAATTTCCAACTTAAAAAGTATAAAAGAAAGAAAAGAAAACATTTGACTTTGTAAAAAGAAGAACAGGAGTACTTGTGGCACCTTAGAGACTAACAAATTTATTAGAGCATAAGCTTTCGTGGACTACAGCCCACTTCTTGTGTGTA